GCCCTCGGCTTGGACGCTGGAGGCCCGATCAGGATCAGCCTCTGCAGGAGGTGCTGACCGCCTCCAGGTTGCACTACCAAATTCTGTGCCCAGTCCAAGGGTTGAGTCCCCAAGCTTACTGCCTCCGTGACTCGTCAGACGCGCACTTACGAAGTAGTATGCAACAATGGTGTCCTACATGGAGCCCAGGTTATGTTCCCCGAGGAGGTGTTGCGGCTCATGACACCTGCACGCTGGTGCCCAGCGGACTGCATCGTATATGTTGTGTTGTGGTCTGCTGTCCTGGCTTTGTTACTGCCCATTTCCTGCCCAGAGTTATCTCTTATAGGAAGTTATATGGGTATCTACGCAAAATTGCGGCCTTTGGAGAGGCCAGGATCCGCATGCCTCCAGCACTCCGCCCTCATGAACAATTCCCGGACGACAACATACACTTGAGAGATGGGGACTCCTTTGAAATTTATGGAGATCCCTCTCATCCGAACTATCGGCCAAGCCATGGCCCTACGCCTGTTTCGTTTAGTCGTCTGTCACATTTCCACGCCTGGCACATGCCCTTCCAGATACAGGGCGGCGGCTGGGTGCATGTTTGGTCCCCCCAGGGCGGCCAGCAGCAGCAGTGTGAGAGGCACTGGATCGCTCACGGTGATTTGCGGTCTCCACAGTGGCGACAATTCCAAAGGCCCCATTCCTTGCCTTCCACAGAGCGGTGGGTGCCAACCGCATGGGTTGCGGATGATCAATGCCACTTTGTCCGGCCGGCGACTTCTGGCTCAGCCTGTGTGCTTCGAGTCCAGCCCGGAACTCGTAATTTTGAATGCTGCGAGCTGCCCCTTCCGCAAGGAGACGATTCCGGGGTCCCAGCCGGATGGCGCTTGCGAGCTGACATTCAGGCTACCTCGCCGAGGCCCCGAGCTAGAGACGGGGACGTTATCGAACCCGCGCCGCATGCCTCGCGTCGAAGAGTCCATCACTACTCCCGGCATCTCCTAGCAATAGGCGGTGCCTGCATGGGACCTTATCCAGCTTGGCGTTGGATGCTCGTTGTCGCTTTATATATGCAACTTGCCAGCGGGATGATGCAGCCCCCCGCTAGCCTCGAACAAGTCCGGGTCGGCAAGTTCGCGTGGAGGGTTCCTGAGAGCATGCGCATGTGCGATGCAGCAGTCCAGCAGGGCCACTCCGCTGTCCTTTTGTCTCCCTTTACGGGATGCTCACCGCCTATTGATGTAGAGCCTGACACCAGCTTTGATGATGTACGCAACTACCTGCTGGGCGGTGAGCCTGCATGGACTCGGCAAATAGCTCCAGTATGGCCCGCCTTGAGCCGTGGTCATCTTGTGTTCTCCCCCGTCTCGCCGTGCCGCGAGCTGGTGTGCCTTATAGTAGTCTCGCACGAATGGCAGGCTGCACACATACTGCCCAGGCGAACTGACCTCGAATGGCTCTTATCAGTGCTCCGCCGTGGGGCTGATGGACCGCTTTATGAAATTCGTCCCCCTGTCTCAGCCCAGCGCTGGCGGGGCCGTGAGTATGACGCCATAGACTGGCGAGACGGGGACGTGATTACAGCATACACACATGGCGAAGCACAGGCAGGCTATGCGGCACCCATCTTGCCTACCAGTCTCGCCGTACGCCATGCTGCGGTATGGGCGAATGACTTCCATGTGCACACCGAACTGCCAGTTGTTCTCTGGAGGCCAGGCGTACGGCCCACTCGCACTGTTATGCCTCCGCCGATCACTTGGCAGGCTAGCATTTTTGCCTTTCGGGGCTCTTTTGCGAGCAAGTACCCTGGTCGCTGGGTCCCCGTGCCTTGGATCTATGATGACGAGGTCCACATCTGTCAGCAAGCTGAGGATCCCCAGCAGTGCCATATCGTGATGGAATCCTTGACGGGCACTGCCCTGATAGGACAGTGCAGGTTAGTGCCTAGGTGGGCTACTCGTAATATGCTGGCTGAGCTCGCCGGTGTTCCGCCTGACGCTATCACATTGCTAGGCCACCCCACCTCGTCAGACCTCCCATCACTTCGAGACGGTGATGTCATCCATTATGTTCAAACGCCAGTGTCATCATCCGCGACACCTCGAACTCGCAGAGACAGGCAAGGGATAGTGAGATGGGGGATCCTTGTTGTGGGGATTGCTAATAAAGGTAACTGGCCGACGCGACGTGTGGCCAGCTGGAGCCTTCTACTCCTGGCATGCTATCTCGCCGCTAAGGGGGCACCCCCTACTTTCCGACGGAGTGGACCACATTCGTGGGAGCTTGACATGCAAGGCGTGGCTGCGCTTACCGCTAAACTTCATGAATTTTGGTGGTGTCGCCCCTTGCAAACATCGCTACCAGCTTACTCCCCTCCGGCACTGGCCGCGAATTGGCAGGCCTTCCCTCAGTGGCAGGGAGGGGTTCCACGTAGCCTTGTTATCGCCACAGATGGCAGTGGTCGGCAACAAGGCTCATGGGCTTTTGCGGCATGGGCTTACACAGGGCGCTCATGGTACCGTATCGGCTGGGCAGCAGCCTCTGTGCAGCAAACGCCTTGGATCCCCACATCAGTGCGAGAGCACAGTGGGCATCTAGCCTCCTTTTATGGAGAATTGGCGGCTTTGCAGGCTGCGGCATTGTGGCTAGCGGCCACTCTCGATCACTGGCAATTGCACACCGGTGCCCGCCCAGGCGAGGTCACATTGGCCGTTGACAACGCGTCAGCACTGCAGGTTGCAGCGGGCTTCGGACAAGCGCCCGGAGCTCTTGCGGGGCTGACAAGGCAAGCATGGCAGAGTGTCCAGACTCGAGTCAGCACACGGTTTAGGCATGTCCATAGTCATACTGGGTTGTTCGCTAATACTATCGTTGACTACCTAGCGGAGGTCAGTGCTGAACGCCAAGCCCCTGGCTTTGTTACGGTGTCCTCACTAGAGGTCTCACCTGCTGAGTTCACCGACACTTTCCCTTGGTTATGGCTGATTCCCGCCTGTACCATGAAGGACGGACGCCCAGTGTACGCCTTCCGAACCAGGGCGAGAGAGAATCAACCCGCGACTGTATGCACTCCTCCCGAGCCAAAGCCAGACTCCGGCAAGGACCACCAGAAGCCCCAGCATCTCGACCTGCATATGCTCACAGCTAATGTTCAGACGATGAAGGACGCTGCTTGCAGCATCTTTAACCCTTCAGGCCTCGCCGCGCGAAGGCAGTACCTCTATCGCCAGATGCTAGAATGCCAAGCAGACGTTGTCTGTATCCAAGAGGCCCGCAGTAAAGCAGGCCGATGGAACGGTCCTGGCATTCTGACGTGGCGCTCGGGGGCGAGTAAGGGCCAGTACGGGTGCGAAGTCTGGGTTCGTGCCGATGTTGCCCAACCAGCCCTTTCCCTTCAAGACTGGCGTCTAATCGCCTCTACGCCACGCATACTCTGCCTTACCTGTGTCGCGCCACAACTGCCGCTCACTGTTATTTCGGCGCACGCCCCCCACGCCGACCGGCCGGACTCAGAGGCTCAGGCCTTTTGGCACTCACTAAGGGAGGTGATCCGCAAGTGTCCCTCACAACGAGCCATAGTCATAGGCCTCGATGCGAACGGAGATATACATGCTGCAGACGAAGACCAAGCCCTCATTGGAGAGCTCTTGGCCACGTCCGAACCCCGTCGTAACGACGACTGCCTCCTGGAGTTCTGCCTGATTGCCGGTTTTGAGGTGCCCGGTACTTTCTCTTCCATCCAACACGGCCCAGGCTGGAGTTGGCAGCACACAGGAGGTAGAACCAAGCGACTCGACCATTTTTTGTTCCGGCCTGGGCCATGGTCGCACTGCTCTACCTCCCAAGCATTCGACTTCGACATTGTTAATTCTGCAAGGGACCACGTTGCCCTTCGTGCCAGGTCTGTTCTCACATACTGCCTGTCACCCCGTAAGCCGTCTCGCGACAGGCGTGCTACCCGTCATGAAGCAGAGCACATCAGCCAGTCCTTCTGGGAATACCTTGCGTTTGACCCAGCTTGCCCTAGGCACGCTGAGGACATGATTGAGCAAGTTCACACGGCCTACAAACATGAAGTTCGTGCCTTGCCCAGGCGCTCCATGCCACGTATAAGGCAGCCGTATCTCCATGAGTTGACAGTCGCCTCATTCTTCATTCTCCGTGATTGGAGAGCCCAGCTCCGATCGCTCACCAGGACCCTCCGCCAATCATGGCTCAGGGCTGTCTGGGATGCATGGAGGAGGCGACCGTTCGACCGGCGCCGCTCTCTCTTTATGCAACGCCTGATGATTGGGGCGTACCGCCTGCATGAAATCAAGTTGCAGAATCGCGTGCATAGCCTGGCGCGTAGGGATAAAATACGCCATTTCCTCCACCTCACTCAAAACGCGACTGAGGAATGGCATCGTTCTGGCCAGCCAATGCATGCAATAATGCATCTTAAGTGGGCTTCTAAGCGGTCTGCGGACCGCAGAGCGGTTTTCGCTGCCGGCGGATATGACATAGAGGACGAGCTGGAAGAGCAATTTCGAGCACAAGAGGGGGGGCTGCATGTCACTGAGGGCCAGTTACAGGCTAGAATGCGCCGGTGGGCCGATACTGAAGCCGCTGGCTGCCCCGCTGCAATGCCTTCCCTGCTCGAACTTGAGCAGATTTGCCTGAGGCAGAAGGGGGGCAAGGCTCCAGGCCCGGATGCAATACCTAACGAGCTCTGGAAGCTTAACCCTCCCAAGGCAGGTCGATGGTTATGGAGCCTATGCACACAAATCGCGCTCAGTGGGCGTGAGCCTTCGCATTTCAAGAAGGCTCTCCAATGCGCCCTTTACAAGAAGGGTCCCGCCTCACTGCCCAGCAATTACCGGTCAATTGCCTTACTCAACGGTGTTGCCAAGATATGGCACAGCCACATCAGAGGCACTCTTGGCACCGCCGTCATTAACGGCTATGACGCCTTGCAGCTGGGTGGACGGAAGCGAATACCTGTCGCCTTTGCGGTTACTACTTTTCGTAATGTGTGGGAGCTGAGTGTAGCACAAGGGTTCTGTTGCGCGGCCCTCTTTGTTGACATTCAAGCTGCTTACTACGAAACTAGCCGGCAACTGCTCTTTCATGGTGATGAGTCGCTCGCCGAACCGGACGAGCCTAGGAAGCGCCACTTGACAGCTCTTTCCCACCAGCTCGCTTGCAATGGAGCACTGGCCGAGATCGGCATTCAGCAGGATGAGCTTGATCTACTGTTGGATTGCGTCGCCTGCTCGCATTGGCAGATGGCAGGGTCGAGCAACATATACATCGCCACCAGGGGTTCCCGACCCGGTGACGGTCTAGCCGATGTGCTGTTCGGGGCTCTCTTCTCTGTCGCTCTTCGACACATCCGCCGTCAATGCCAGGCCGAAGGCATCACTCATACGGGAGCGGGGCAACTCATCGGCAACAGCGGTGATGTCGTACCGGTAGGCTGGGCAGACGACCTTGCTGTGCTCGCCGATTTCGAAAGCCCTGCTGCCCTCCAGGCCATGCTTCCCCGCATGACTGAGATTGTAGTCAGCACTCTTGAGCACATTCGATTCCGTGTTAATCTGGGGGCTGGCAAAACCGAAGTTATGGTAGACATCCGAGGCGCGCAGGCAAAGCAGGCCAGGGCCAATCTTCTGACTGGCAACTCTGCTCTTCCTCTTCCTGACGGACGTGAGATCCGCATCTCTCCTGAATACAGGCATCTGGGAGTTATCCAGCAACCTCGCGACAATGGCCGTCGCGATCAGGAGCTCTGCCGACAGCGCGCTCAGGCTGCCTGGGCACAGGCCAGAAGTCTTTATGCCTCTACAGCTGTGCCGTGGGAGCTTAAACAAGCCTGGTTGGCGGCCCGTATTCTTCCGGCGGCGTATGCCACTCTCGCAACGAATACAGCCTTGTCCCGGCGAGCCACAGCACCGCTCGAGGGGTTCTTTGAGCGCGCCACCAGAGTACTAGCACAGTCGTGGCAGTACGGGCATTACCTCACGAAACCGAGCCTCCTTCTCTTGGCTGCACTCCCCTCACCCGAACATGCCTCTGTCGTGGCGAAGGTGCGGCTAGTCACCCTCCTGTGTAAGCAGGCCCCGGCAGCTGTATGGGACATCCATGAGGCCTGTTGGAACCGTGCCACCCCTTGGAGCGAGCACCTTGTGGACTCTTGCCGACGGGTGCTGCCAGCAATCCCACAGCTCACCACCGAGCAACATGTCACTCTGTATCTCCTCCAGCGCAATACGCAAGCTTTTGTGAAGGCATGCAAGCACCTCAGCCGCTTCGGTTCCCCATACGCAGCATATTGGGATTTGTGGTCCGACGTCATTCA